GGAAGCCCGACACGACAGAATTCTCCCCGCCCTATTATCTTATTTCGAAAGACCCAAAGGTAAATGCTTCCAAATTGAACCAATAGTAGAAAGTCGGGATAAATCAATGCCATGTTCATGTTCAGTTCTCTTTCGTTACAAAAGAAAACGGATTAGAGCCTTAAAACAAAAGGGAGCGGAGGCAGGGGGTAAGAAATTCAATAAACAGGAAATTCAAAATGTTTACGGACCTTAAGAATTAAGATGTAAATTTGTAGGTGTGTTTCACCCCCGGGATTTTGACGAATCCCAAAGTTCGTGGGCTGCTGCGAAATTTAATTATTTGGAACTGGTTAAATGTTACCCTGACCTCAACTAACATTTGGGTTGGACTTTTTTCCAGGAACCAGGGGACTTGGATACCAGATGAGGCCACCTCCTCCTCTCCCTGCTCTTCCCGCAGGGACAACGCCTGCCAGGTGCTGGGGACTTGGATCCTGGCAGGAGGCCGCGCTGTCAACTACTGGCAGGATCCCAGATCAACAGATCGGCGCTCGGAGCACTTCCTCGCGGGGCCCCCCCCAGCCGCACCTGCGCACCTTTCGCCTGGGGGGGTACCTCGGGGGCGGGGCTGCGGGAGCGCACGCCCCCTGCGTCGTGACGTCACAATCCCGGCGCCCTGGAGCCAGCCGTTAGCAACCTGCCTGGCTACGGTCTCCCGGTCGCTGCCGCCCCCCGCCGGCTCCTCCTTTCCAATCCTGCGCTGCCGGCGCTGGGCCGGGCCGGGGGAAGGACCCAAGGGGACCCAGCGTGTCCCCACGGCGGCTGCAAGAGGACTAAGCATGGATGGCAGCCGGAGAGGTAAAGGGCAGCTCCGGCAGGGCCGGGTCCCGGCGTGGGTTGGGCTGAGCGGGTCAGAGCAGTTCCTGGGGCGCTTCCAATCCGGTTTTTAGCCGCCAGCATGGTCCCGGGCGTAGCCCAGTCCTTGAGCAGAGGCCCTGTTTGCCGGACTCACAAATCTGTTCCTTTGATCAGAATTCGTCTCCCTGAAACCAGGGAAGCATGGTCCTGAACTCGGGGTCTTGCAGCCTGGTTTAGCCGCGGTAATTCCGAGGCGGAGGAACCACATCCCTGGGCCGTAAAATCAAGCCCCACTGCTCCGCAGAGGCGATTCTCGGTTCCTTCGTCTCTTGAACGTGGGAAGGAAACACCGATGTGCCTTAGAGTTTTTGAGGATGCACCACAGATGCATCGGAAGCACTTGGCGCATTTCAAGCGTACTACTCAGTAAATACGAAGTCGCACGTTCAGTAACTAACTCCCTCCCCCCAACTATTGACCCTAGACTCCTCTAACTTGCATGTTAATACTGATCCTCTAGGAATTGCGTTAAAACGTGGATTATGCTTCATTAGGTCCACAGGCTGGAAGGAACACTGAGATTTTACGTTTCTAACCAGTTTTAGTGTCAAAGGACCAATTTATAACCACTATGCACCTGCTTCTGACTGAGTGTTCGAAGTGGACATAATGGTAGAATGATTGGGACCATATAACCTTAAATATCTACAAATCGGACCAATCCGAGTAATTCTCATCTTCACACTAAGTATTATTTCCTCAAAAGGCAAATTGGCAGTCTCCAGATGCGCCCCTCCAACCTTCTCTTTCCATGTTCTTTACTTAAAAGAGTACCTGTAAGCCAGCCTGCTAGTCGATTCTTTTAAATTAGGTCTTGCTTTGAATATGAGTGTGTTTATTATGTAATCATTGATTAAAATAAGTGCTATTCTGAATGCAGACGGTAACTATCCATTGCCCAGCACTATATAATCCAACACTTTACCAATCAAAAATGGGGAAAAGGCAAGCCAAAATGTGTTTATGGTTTTACAACATAAACTAACATTAAGCCCATGCTGTGTACCAGGAATTACTCCCTGAATTACCATATTTAATTTACAAAAACATCTTGCTGGATAGATAGTACCCTTATTGCACAGTGAATAAACAAGAAATCATAAGTAACTTGCAGGTCACAATAACCCCCAGAACGATTTGAACCCTGGTATTAAGACCCTAGAGTCAATGCCTTTCTTACTATCTCATGGCAGGGGTGAGGACATGGAAAAGGGATGTATGTAAAATGTAGAATCTAATAGTCCTTGTTAATTCTCAGTATTTGTCTATTGAATTTTTAGAGAGTGATTTTTGCAATAGGGCTTATCTGCTTGCTGGAGAGACAGAGACAGAAAGTGAGAAATCACCACGCCCCCCCCCCCCCAGGAGGGATGACTACACCACAATCCCTTCTTCGGCATTCTCCTCTCAGGATTTTAGGCATGCACACACAAGCACATGGCATGAGCTTTAAGCCACTGGGTCCGGGACTTGTTGTGGTCAACTGCATGAGAGTCCAGCGACGTAACCATTATGCCATCTGTTGGTCCCTTTAATTATTTTTTTAATTATTTTTTAAATTAGGTTCTTATCAAATATATAAAGGGTTATATTTTTATAACTTAACCAATTTCATTAGCTTAATTTTTAGGCTATTACGTATAATAATATTAAACATTAGTGTTGGTTTTGCATTTTAAAAGTAAATATAATATTCGGCAAGTTTCTGGGCCAGTCTTCATATACTTTAAATTAGTCTTAGTAGGAAACCATAAGTAATTTTAACCAAAGCTAAAATACTTAATTGAAAAATAGATTTCTTAGATTTCATTGGGAGCAGATCATAAAATATTAAAACACTTTAAAAAGTATCAGTTGGGACCAGCAATTGGCATAATGGCTATGCCGCTGGACTCCCATGTAGTCGACCATGGTTCGAGTCCTGGACCCAGTGGCTTAAACTCATGCTAGGTGCATGTGCATGCGTACCCAAGATGCTGAGAGGAGAATGGAGGAAAAGGGATTGTGGCATGGCCATCCCCCTGGGGAGTGATTTCTCGCTTTCTGTCTCTCTGTCTTTCTGGCGAGCGCACACGCCCTATGGCAAAAACCTCTCCAAAAAAAAAAGTATCAGTCATTTTTGTCTTACTGTAAGCACATTTTAGATATTGTTTCAGAAGACAAACCTTCCCAATGATCATGTAGAAAGAGTACTAGCCTGGGCCAACCAGTGGTGTGGTAGTTAAGGCAGCTAAGGGGCTGGTAGGTGGCATGGTGATTGAGGCACCAGACTTTCACATGGCTAACCAAAGTTTGAGTCCCAGACCTGGTGACTTGCTTTCTCCCATTCTCTTTCTCTCTGGTCAAATTAAAAACAATAATAATAAATAAAATTAAATAAATCTTTTTTTAAAAAAAGAGGAGGGGGCAGCTGGATCCCAATTAGTCTACTGTGCGGTTCAAGTGCCAGACCCAGTGACTTGAAAAACACTGGTGTGGGACCAGCAGATGGCGTAATGGCTACATCACTGGACTCCCATGTAGTTGACTGTGATTCGAGTCCCAGACCCGCTGGCTTAAACGCATACTGGGCGCGTGTGTGTGCTTGCCCAAGATCCCGAGAGGAGAATGGAAGAGAAAGAATTGCAGCATGGCCATCCTCCCTGGGGGGTGATTTCTCGCTTTTTGTCTCTGTCTCTCTCTGTCTGGTGAGTGCATGCACCCTATAGCAAAATATCTCTCCAAAAAAGAAAAATGCTGAGTGTATGTGCATGCCCAAAATCCTGAGAGGAAAACAGAAGAGAAGGGATGGCAACATGGCCATCACTCCTCCCCTCCACATACCCACTTTCTCAGTTTCTATTTCTTGTGAACATAGAAGCCCTACAACAAAAACATTAAAAAAAAGAAAAGAAAAACCTGGAAGAGTACCAACCTGAAAAACAGTAAATATTGTTTGTAATTTTTGCTAACAAACTAGGTGATTTTCAGTTAGTCACTTTACTTCCCACAGCCTTACCTTATGTGTAAAATGGGGGCTTGAACTAGATAACATGTAATATGTTTTTCCAGCTTTGTGTGGGGTAAAGGGGGAGAAAAGATTGAGAATATTAAATTGTCATCCACTTTATTAGTAATCAATGATATTTGGGGAAAACAGGAAACCTATTAGTGTAAATAATTGAAAGTAGTTTGGAAAAAAAAAAATCAGTTTGTCCCCTAGAGGCACTTACCAATCCCAAACCTCTGGTATTCTTGGGAAAACCTGCCACTAGAAGCATCTTCACAGTGCCTTTCCTTCTGGCTATCTTAGTAAAATCAAATTGTGTAGGAAACTGGGCAGCTCTGATATACCGACAAAATCTCTAAGACCTTCAACTTTGTGGAGAGAATACTAGTTTTCATACAGTTAAAGATGGTTTTCTTTTTTCCTAACATTTGGTTTGAGGCTACTTTTCCATGCCCTTTTGAGTCATTCTGAATCCAACCAGGTGACAGAAACCATAAAGTGATTGAAACAAGAAAAATGTAAAGAATTGTTAAACTATCATAAAAATAGTAGTTATAAAACACAAACTGAACATCCCTAAATCCAAAAATCCAAAATCTGAACCACTTTTAAAACGTGCTAGTTTTGAGTGCCAACATGATCCCACAAGTTGAAATTTCCACACATTTAAAATGATGCAGTGCAAAAATGTAGTATAAAATTAGGCCATTCCCATAGCACAGCAGTTACACACTGCACAGAGGAAGCCAAATCCACATGTCTTACCCAGGTTCAAGTCCCAACCCCAAGGACATCACACCATATTTGGAGTGCCCAGGATACTGGTAGGATGCAGAACTGGTAGAATAGAGATTACAGTATGACTGGACCCTGTTGATGGGTGCACTTTATCTTGCATGTGCACCTCTGGCATTAAAAAAATTCAACAGGGACCAGCAGTTAGCATAATGGCTGTGTTGCTGGACTCCCATGTAGTGGACCGCAGTTCTGGTCTCGGACCTGGTGGCTTAAAACTCAAGCTGGGTGCATGTGTGTGCGCACGTGCCCAAAATCCCAAGAGAATGGAAGAGAAGGGATTGCAGCGTGGTCATCCCCCCGGGGGGGGGGGTGATTTCTTGTTGTCTGGCGAGCCCATGCGCCCTATAGCAGAAACCTTTCCAAAAAAAGAAAAAAATTCAACAAAATCTAAAAATAACAATAAAATTACTTTCAGGCTTTATGTATGAGGTGCATAGGAAACAATGAACTTTGTGCTCATACTTGTGTCCCATCCCAACATATCTCATTATGTATATTGTAAATTATCAAAAATCTGCTGGTCCTGAGCATCTACTCAGCCTGTATTAAAAAAAAAAAAAAAACCCTAGAGATAAAGGAGAGTACTCAAGGAAGGACAGATTTGAAAGGGGGACTTCCTCCTCAAGACTGGGGTTCAGACCTCATTGGAGAAGTTGTGACTATGTGTTTGCCCAAAGCTTCACTGCTGAGGGTTGACATCAGAGGCTTCCCATGCCAGAGGAAATAGTTGTTCATTAAGTTGTTTAGCCAAGCCATTAACAAATTAGCAGACAAACAACAATGGAAGTGAACTCAGGAGAGATTGTATATCTAGAGTTGCTATATATTACTGAAAAGTTCACTTTTCAACAAAGAACTTAAGCTGATTCAAAGAAATACAAAAGTGTGACCCATACAGAGAAAACAACGCAGGACCAGAAACTGCTTGTGAGAGGCCCTGACAAATTATGTTTATTTCTCCCTTCAGTTCTGTTATTAATATGACATTAATCTCTAGGAATATTAAAAACTAATGAGTTTATGTGTTGTCGTATATTTGAAGATAAATGGACAAGGAAGCATAGACGTCAGAGTGTATTTAAGTTTCATTTCTGTCCTTATTACCATGTTATGCTAAAGAGAAGCTGGTTTGGTACCTGGGGGCAAATCTGAACTCTTGTTCTCAGTTACCTCCCATAGGTGGGAAAATGGGAGATATGAGTTCCAGCCTCTGTGTCATTCTCTCAATGTAATTCTTTCAACTTCTCTGGCTATACCTGTTTTTCCTTTTACTGTGACCTGTAGAGAGACAGACAGACTTTCGGATGGAATTTGGAGGAATAAACCTCATGCAGTTGAGATTTCTTAGTCTGATTCATATACTGTAGTGACTTAGAGGGGTTCAAATACTGAGCAGTTTATATTGATCAAGAGAGTGTAATGGTTAAGACTCAAGAACCAGACTGCCTACGTTTGACCCCAAATCTGTCACGTTTTAGTTATTAATCTTGGGAACATTACAAGCTTAGCCTCTTTGTGCTTCATCTGTTCTATTCTTGTTCTTAGCTAAAAGACCAAGAAGCAGTGCTTCATCTATTCTCATCTATAAAGTAGGAAGAATAATGCTTAGAATATTGTTGTGAGGATTAAATTAATTTATACTGAGGAATGCTTAGAACAATGCCTGGTATGGTTTGTACTCAGTAAATTAGCATTTTAATTACAAATGAAGAAAATTAACTCGAACTAGTTTAAGATAAAATGGGAATTCTTTTTCACTCATGGGAATAAACAAAAGCCCAGGGAGGGTAGAGCTGTAAACATAGTAGCCCCCAGGTGCTCAGCCAGTGTTACCAGGAATCTCCTTCAGTCTTGGTTCCACTTTCCTCTATTTGGGCTTCATTCTCAGAACTGCCACTAGCCTTTGGTTTAGAAAGCCCAGTGAGAAAGTACTTTTCCTAGTGTCTATGGCTACAAAATTTTTTCTGGTTAGTAGTATGAGTGAATAAAATTTTAAACAAATCTGGAAGTTAAAAGATGTTAGTTTTGGGGGTTTGTTTGCGTTTTTGTTTTGTTTTGTTTTTTCAGTTTTTACTATAGGGCACTTGTGCTCCCTGAAGAGAAAGAGGAAGAGTGAGAAATCACCCCCCCGGAGGATGGCCATGCTATAGTCTCTTCTCCTCCAGTCTTTTCCCAAAATTTTGGTCATCCACACATGTACCCAGAGTGATTTTCAAGCCACCAGGTCTGGGACTCCTAACTGTATAGTTGGCCATGTGGGATCCAGTGCCTTTACCTCCATACCACCTGCCAAGCCCTAAATTTTTTATTTAAAAAAATATTCAATATTTTTGTTTCTGTGAAAATGTTTGATTTATACTAATTAATGTTTTATTGTTGTTAAAAGTCAGAGCAACCTCTGTCCTTCCCAGATATGGTCCACCATGCCTATTTAAAGGACACTTGAGCACCAAAAGTAATGGTAAGTAAGGTACCTAAAATGATAGCCTTGTTAAAAGTTCAATTAAGGATTTCTTTTATTTCAAAATTATATCACATGATGAAAAGTACTTGATTTAACAAATAGTTGAACTTTCTATTACTAATTATAATTAAATAAAAGACTTTTTGAGATTAGAGAAATTAGGAGTTCATGATTTTGAACTATTATTGTGCCTTGGATGTTGATTTGGCTGCCTTTTGCTCCCTGCTGCAGCCCAGCTCTACTTTGCCAGCAGGTTATCCTGATTTAAGCCTTGCTTGCCTTGTTAAGAGGGTGATTAACAACAACAGCAAAAGTAAATAAATTTAAAAAGTTAAAAAATAAAGGATAGGGACCAGCAGTTGGTGTAATGGTATGTTGCTGGACTCCTGTGTAGTCAACTGCAGTTCGAGTCCCAGACCTGGTGGCTTAAACTCACGCCAGGTACGTGTGCATGCGTGCCCAAAATCCCGAGAGGAAAATGGAGGAGAAGGGATTGTGGCATGACCATCCCCCTAGGGGGTGATTTCTCGTTTTCTGTCCTTCTGGCGAGTGCACATGCCCTATAGCAAAAACCTCTCCAAAAAAAAAAAAAAAGATGGTGATTAACAGGTATTAAAGACATCACTGAAAGGGAAAGCCATGCAGAGATAGAGAGTATCTGGATAACGCATTTCTATCAGGTGTGAGCAAATGCTTACAGGCCTCTTTATCCAGCCAGATTTCCAGGTCCTGTGATATTCTGTACTTCTCTAATGTTGGTTTTATAATTACAGTTTAAAAGTTACAAGTCTGAAGGCCATTCATACGGGTAAAACGTGACACTTTACAAAGCTGGCCTGCACGGAAAGGTTCCAGATTGGCCCTGGAGACAACTTGAGTATGCTGGACATGTGTGTGCCCATGATCTGGGGCTGGCAGGGACTCGGAGTAGATCCAAGGCATCCAGATCTTCTTGAGAGTGCTGTCTCTCTGTCTCCTCCATACCACCTGCCAAGCCCTAAATTTTTTATTTAAAAAAATATTCAATATTTTTGTTTCTGTGAAAATGTTTGATTTATACTAATTAATGTTTTATTGTTGTTAAAAGTCAGAGCAACCTCTGTCCTTCCCAGATATGGTCCACCATGCCTATTTAAAGGACACTTGAGCACCAAAAGTAATGGTAAGTAAGGTACCTAAAATGATAGCCTTGTTAAAAGTTCAATTAAGGATTTCTTTTATTTCAAAATTATATCACATGATGAAAAGTACTTGATTTAACAAATAGTTGAACTTTCTATTACTAATTATAATTAAATAAAAGACTTTTTGAGATTAGAGAAATTAGGAGTTCATGATTTTGAACTATTATTGTGCCTTGGATGTTGATTTGGCTGCCTTTTGCTCCCTGCTGCAGCCCAGCTCTACTTTGCCAGCAGGTTATCCTGATTTAAGCCTTGCTTGCCTTGTTAAGAGGGTGATTAACAACAACAGCAAAAGTAAATAAATTTAAAAAGTTAAAAAATAAAGGATAGGGACCAGCAGTTGGTGTAATGGTATGTTGCTGGACTCCTGTGTAGTCAACTGCAGTTCGAGTCCCAGACCTGGTGGCTTAAACTCACGCCAGGTACGTGTGCATGCGTGCCCAAAATCCCGAGAGGAAAATGGAGGAGAAGGGATTGTGGCATGACCATCCCCCTAGGGGGTGATTTCTCGTTTTCTGTCCTTCTGGCGAGTGCACATGCCCTATAGCAAAAACCTCTCCAAAAAAAAAAAAAAAGATGGTGATTAACAGGTATTAAAGACATCACTGAAAGGGAAAGCCATGCAGAGATAGAGAGTATCTGGATAACGCATTTCTATCAGGTGTGAGCAAATGCTTACAGGCCTCTTTATCCAGCCAGATTTCCAGGTCCTGTGATATTCTGTACTTCTCTAATGTTGGTTTTATAATTACAGTTTAAAAGTTACAAGTCTGAAGGCCATTCATACGGGTAAAACGTGACACTTTACAAAGCTGGCCTGCACGGAAAGGTTCCAGATTGGCCCTGGAGACAACTTGAGTATGCTGGACATGTGTGTGCCCATGATCTGGGGCTGGCAGGGACTCGGAGTAGATCCAAGGCATCCAGATCTTCTTGAGAGTGCTGTCTCTCTGTCTCTGTCTCTCCTGCTCATGGAAGAAATAAATGAATAAACAGAAAGTTAGAATTCTTGAGATTTTAGGCGAAATAATTGAAAATCTTTTCTCCCCTTATTTACATGAAAAGTCTTTGATACGGTGATCTACAAATGAAGGAAAGATCACAAATGGTTATCTGATTTCTTTATTTCTATTTGAGTGTGTGTGTGTGTGTGTGTGTGTGTGTGTGTGTATATCCAGGATCATAAACTTTGAAGAATACTTTTTAATAAAAATTTTAAACTAGATTTAAAATATACATACAAGGAAAAGGATAAAAACAATATGTAAAGTTTTCTGGTTTTTTGGTTTTGGGTTTTTTTTAAAGTAAGAATGTATATGTGGAACTGGGATAAATTCGGTAGTTATGAGTGTGCCATTGTTCACATTCAAACTGCTTCTTTTATCAGCAGTGTGATCATAAAGACCTAACTCGTATCTCTGAGCTTTAGTTTCCACTAGATAAGTTTATATGTGGAGAGAGTTTAGAACAATGCATAGCAAATGATACTCATTAAATAATGTTTTTAGTAGTAGTGTCAAGTTCATACTTAATATATATGTGTTCGTTATGCATAGACTTTCCTTGGAGGATGCATTAAAAAGGTAGAATATATTTCTGGGAAAGGACACTAAAGATCAAGGTAGCAAAGTCACGTACTCTTCAGTCACTATATGCTGTTTTAGCTGTTGTATTTTTTTTTTTTAACCACATGCATGTATTCTCAAAAATTATGTTTAAAAAGTTATGCCAACATTTACATTTTATACCTGTATATAGTGCTCAACTATTTCTAAGATTTCTCTTAAACAATTTAGATGAGAGTCAAGGAGTTTAATGTCATAGAATTTCTTAACATAGTTGTAATACTTTAGAAAGATGGCAATAAATTGATTTGGGGACCAGCAGGTGGCATGGTGTTTAAGGCACTGGACTCCCACATGGCCTACAATTATTCAAGTCCTGGACCCAGCTGCTTGAAAATCATATCAGGTGCATGTGCATGTGTGTCCAAAATACCAGGGGAGAGAAACAAGGAGGAGGAATTACCATATGACCATCTCCCCCTGGTGAGGGGGTCGACTTCTCACTTTCCCTTTCTTTGTCTCTCTCTGGCAAGTACAGGTGCCCTAGAGCAAAATGAAAAAAATTTGTAGATCTTATTTTCAGGTATAGAGTTAGATATATGCCTCCCAGAATACAATCTTTCTATAAGATTATGAGTTTTGACATTTGTTTAATTTCTCAAACTCCATGAATTGTTCAAGTATTCGCCATCAGTAGCATTATTTTATAATCAAGTGGCTAAATGTTTTTAGTTATAAGATTGAAAGCTGCGGGTCAGCAGTTGGTGTAATGGCTATGTCGCTGGACGCCCAGGTAGTCGACCACAGTTCGAGTCCCAGACCCAGTGGCTTAAACTTATGCCAGGCACATGTGCATACGTGCCCAAGATGTGGAGAGGAGAATGAAGGAGAAGGGATTGCAGCATGGCTATCCCCCCTCGGGGGTAATTTCTCACTTTCTGCCTCTCTGTCTCTCTCTGTCTTTCTGGCAAATGCACATGCCCTATAGTAAAAACCTCTCCAAAAAACAAAAACAAAAAAGATTGAAAGCTGTTGAAAAATAGTTTTGTAAATGTAATACAAGATTATACTCTGGAATCTCTTCCCTAAACTCCCAGACTTGTAAAATTTTTTCTTGGAAAGAGTTGAATACAGTCAAAAATTCATTAATGTTATTCTTGGAAAATGAAGGCCAGCACATTCAGCATCACAAAGCGATGATGTCAGTGTCTGCGGTTGAATTTCAGAATATTTTATGAGGAGAGTGAGGGAAA